TAACACGTTACTACACTTATCACGGAGTAATAACACGTTACTTATCACAGAGTAATAACACGTTACTTATCACGGAGTAATAACACGTTGCTTATCAAGGTGTAATAACACGTTACTACACTTATCACGGAGTAATAACACGTTACTTATCACAGAGTAATAACACGTTGCTTATCACGGAGTAATAACACGTTGCTTATCACAGAGTAATAACCACTGTATTCTAACCACGTTACAGCAGTGTGTGAGTGTCTGACCTGCAGAGCTCCGTGTCAGCTTCAGGATCTTCTGGTTCATCTCCTCCTTCTCGCTTTTCAGCAGAGAATTCTCCTTCTGCAGCTCCTCCACCCACTGACACACACACGCACGCACACACACACACACGCACACGCACACGCACGCACGCGCACGCACACACACAGTAATGTTGTGATCATGATAACGTGTGATAATGATGACGTTTGAGTGTGTAGGCTTCAGTGTTCCAGTGTGTGTGTGTGTGTGTGTGTGTGTGCCCTCACCTGTGTTAGCCCCTGCTTCTCGTTAGCATGCTCCTCCTGCAGCTTACCCCTGAGAGCATGCGCCTCCTGCAGCTCCTCCCTGAGTCTCTGCAGCTCGTCATGCAGCGAGGCCAGCTGCCCCCCCCCGCCCTGCTGCAGGCTGCTCACCTCCTGCAGCTTCTTCTGCAGCAGCTTCACCTCTCCGCCCAGAGAGGAGTTCACCTGCAGCAGCTGCTCGTTCTGGAAGCGCTGCTCCTTGGACTGCCGCAGTGTTAGCGTTAGCATTATCATTCATCTGAATAATGATATCTACCTGGAGACTCACCTTGTCGTCCATCTTCCTCTGCAGCTGCACGATCTTGTTCTCCATGCCACTGTTGAGCTTCTTCAGGTGCTGCGCTGAGCGCGCCTCCACCTTCAGCTGCTGCACGCGCCGCTTCGCCCGCACACACCTGAAGGCACACTGCAGCGTGATGGCCGCTGCCCGCGAGCGCTGGAACTTCCTGCGCTGTAGCCAGCCTCGAACGCACCGCTGGATGATCATTGCCTTGTGGTGCAGGAGGAACTGAGGAGAACCGGGAGGAACACCAAGGATCAGGTCACGTGACAGTGGTGAGGTCACATGACAGTGGTGAGGCCACATGACAGTGGTGAGGCCACATGACAGTGGTGAGGCCACATGACAGTGGTGAGGCCACATGACAGTGGTGAGTTCACATGACAGTGAAACAGGAAACCCTCTGTGCAGGAGGAGGCTCTTACTCTGAAGGAGAAAGGAAATGCTTACCTCCTTGAAGATGCGGCGAGTGAACATGCCGCGGGTGAAGGCCTGGATAGTGACGGCCGCCCGTCTCACCCTCAGGAAAGCCCGTCTGTCTCTCACCATGCGCAACTGCTTCTGACAGATGAGCGCAGCTCGGGTCTGCCGCAGGAAGTCCGCATGCCTAAACAAATACAAGCATCAGGGATATCACGTTTACATAAATAGATAATGATACATTACTACATGGTCAACTACATCTACAGGTGAACTACACGTGTAGATGTCGATCACGTGTAGATGTAGATCACGTGATCTACACGTGATCTACATCTACACGTGATCTACATCTACACGTGATGTGAGAGAAAAATTCTGTCTTTAACCTGTTTAACCTTTCTGTGTGGGGACGTTTACGGCCAACCCCGAGTTTGTTATCTCCCGTAAGGAATGTGCTAATGCAGTCATATGTTGACATTCTCAGTTTTATGGCCTGACCTATCGGTCACAGAGGGTTTTAGGACTGTGAGAACGCTGGCTTCTAAGCACCACAGACAAGTGATTCAGTATTTACAGATGTTGAAGATATCTCCAGTGTTGCCAGGTGTTTACGCACCATCCCCCAATATGTGGATTAACTCTCTGTAAGCTAGTTAAACTACATCTACACTTGAACTACATCTAAACGTGAACTATAACTAAACGTGAACTACATCTACACGTGAACTACAACTACACGTGAACTACAACTACACGCGAACTACATCTACACGTGAACTACAACTACACGTGAACTACATCTACACGTGAACTACATCTACACGTGAACTACATCTACACGTGAACTATATCCAGGGCTGCACATAACTGGTGTGCATGCGCACCCTCCGCCAAAAAAGGAGCACCGGATCATTTGAAAAAAGGCGCATTTAGAGAGAGAGAGAGAGAGAAAAGAGAGAAGAGAGAGAGAGAGATTTGAGAGTTGCATAAGAACTGGTAAGATAGCAGGGTTTCCCACACATGGTACCCAGGTATATTAATGGCCGCCAAAGTATAATTCGCAAGCCATTTAGGTTTGATTTTTTTAATCCGTCCGCGAGCACAACGGCATCTGCGATCCCTCGCTCTACCCCTCGCTATCGTGTGAAGGGTCTGCTTTAGGCGCTCTGCACAGAAACCCTGCTGCGTGCTCACTAGCGCACCCCCCCCCCCTTCATAAAGTCAAGACCCCTCAAAAGGTCCGGTTTATTTCATTTTAAGGATGCGCACCAAGCAACATCTCCAGGTGCTGCTTTGAGAACCAGAGCAAACAAGTTATGTGCACTGACTACATCTACAGGTGAACTACATCTACGCGTGAACTACATCTACAGGTGATCTACAGGTGAACTCCAGGTGAACTCCAGGTGAACTCCAGGTGAACTACAGGTGAACTCCAGGCGAACTACAGGGTCAGGTTACCTGCGGGCCATGAAGCCCCTCCCGTATCTCTGCAGCGTGATGGCAGTCTTGCGGATCTTCAGGAAGCGGACTCTCTGCAGCCAGCCGCGCACCGTCTTCTGGATCCGGATGCAGGCGGAGCGGAACCTGTCGGCTCGGAGCTTCTCCAGGTACGCTACCTGGCCGGCCCGGAAGAAGATCTTCGTCTTCCCGAACTGGAACATGTCGGGCTCCTGAGGAACAGCAGGGGTCACCCTTTATATTAATTAATAAGCCTATTTATAAGTAATAAAGACAATATTGAAACGTTTGTTAGCATCAGGTATTAGCATCAGGTATTAGCATCAGGTATTAGCATCAAGTATTAGCATCAAGTATTAGCATCAAGTATTAGCGAGGTTCCTGACCTTGATGAGCGTCTCCAGCAGGTTTTTACACACCAGCTTCTTATCGGCTAATGTCATGTCTGACTTTTTTAGCAGAACCCGGTAGCGGCTGAAGAAGTCCGGGTACGTCCACCTGCAGACACATTACACATCATAAACATTCATTTAAAAAAGAAATTACTGACAGCTGAGCTAACTTGTTCTAAGGTACATAGCATTTATTTAATTTTGTTATTTTACTTAAAACTGTTTAACAAATGGGTTAGGGTCTGTAGCTAACGTTAGCTATATGTCTAGCTAACGTTAGCTAAATGTCTAGCTGGCTCTCACCTGACTTCACGACTGTGTGTTCTTTGGATAAACTGATACCACATATTTGAATTCAAAATGGAGGAAGAAGAGGAGGAGGATGAAGTGGAGGAAGAGTTCTCACCTGGATGGATACCCCGCTGCACTGATCCTGATCGTCTCCAGGACTCCACAGGCTCTGAGCTGCTGCACTGCTCGCTTTGAGTCAAACCTGCAACATCATCATCACATCACCACATTAATAAAGCGCGACTATCCCTGAACGCCTCGTCCTTCCTCTCTCTTCCTGTCTGTGTTGCGTTCAGGGTCTGACTCGGGTCAAGTGACCGCTCTAACAGCTAACAGCAGGCTGCTTGTTAACCTCTCCGCTGATCACACACACACACACACACACACACACACACACACACACACACACACACACACACACACACACACACACACACACACACACACACACACACACACACACACACACACACACGAACACACACGAATGGGGGGGATATGGTGGCTCTTCCGGCTGCCTGTGAGGAGCCTGGCAGGTGGGACAGGAATGACTGACAGATCCCAGGATACAGGGAGTTGCAGTAGTCTAAGCGGGATGAAATGAAGGCATGGATGACTTTCTCTAAATCTTTAGAAGACAAACGGCTTGATTTTGGGCGATGGTTCGAAGCTGAAAAAAAACTGGCTTTAACTACTGCATTGACCTGTTGTCAAACTTAAATGCAGAGTAAAATATAACACCAAGGTTTTTGACATGGGGTTTGACAAGGGCGGACAGGTTGCCAAGACTGTTAGTAAATACTTTGAGGGATTCAGAGGGGCCGAAAAGGACCACTTCCGACTTGC